CTGCAGGCAGAACTGGGACACAGTGCAAGTGTCTGTTTGGTGTCCCTTGCGAAAGACCTGCCAGTGTGTCCCTGCCTGGGGGCTATGCAGCCCTGGGGGTGATCTACACAGTTTTATATTGACCAAGTGCAACTGGCTTGCACTAAGATTCTTTGAGGAATAGGCTAAAGAGCTCTCAGGACCAAGAGTGGTCCTTTTTCATACATTTTAGAATAAAAGGAGACTGGAAGAAAGCCATGCTCTGAGAGGGCATGAGCTATATAGTTACAGAGCTATTAACCTTTTGATCAGTGCAGGAGCACTATTAGTATGGATGATAGCAGGCTCATTTGAAAAGGTGGTGATATAATTGATACCAGCTGACGTGATTTAATGGAAAAATAGACCTTTTCTAATGAGCTTAATAGTGCTTTTATGAGGGAGTAGTGGCAGTGAAATAGATTTATAAATGAATATGACTTGCTATCAATATTTGGCTTAAAATGTCGTAAAATCCATATTAAATGGACTAAAAGTGGCTAAATGAGACATTTCAAAGTGTTTTTAGTGTTGGGAAAGCATCAGTGAACAGGCATATGTTGGCTTGGTTTGTGGTCCAGTGTTACTCAAAACTTTCTTAGTGGTTAAGAGGAAACGTTTAAGGGGCTGTTAATCAAGATGATGAGACAGGGATTTGGGAAATTGGAAGGCATATTATTCAAATTACAGCTTTTTCTGTTGTCTGATGCCCACAAAGAAGCCAGACGAAAAAAAACCCACTTACTTCATTAGCAAAGCCAAACCAGGAGAAAAAAAAAGTCCATTTGGGCTGAACAAAATTCTTCCTTTGATACAAGATGAAATATTTTCTTCTGGATAGTAACTGGAGAAGTAGGCAGCCCAGAAACTGAGGGTTGAAGCAAAGAAAAACCCAACCAAAACCCCCAAAATTATTAGGAACTTCCAAGCACTTGGAAATGACAAAAATCCACTGATGTTGTAGGTGCATGTATAAGTGGAAGACACTTGAGAGTATGGGAAAATTGTATGAGTTGTATGTTTGGTTGTATGAATTGTATGAAGTTGGGGCTAAGGACCGTGCTGAATGAATGTGCTAACATTTACAGAGCATCACTTCAGAGAGGAGCAGGCTCAGCAAGAAACTACGACAAGAAACCAAAGCTGCTTTGCCTTTAAAAGTTCATCTTTGCTTCATCCAAGAGAAGCAGAAAGGTGACTGGGTAGGCTTGGAGGTACATCCACTTGAGAAGGTTTCTGTGTGAGCAGCGAATTAACCGTGTGGCAGAATGGTGAGTCATCCCCCTCGTCAGGGCTAATTTGGGAAGAGATGCTCTCTCCTCAGAGGCTGCCTCTGGGGGCTGGTTGCGAGGGCCATGTCTGTGGTCATGCGTGAAGTCAGGCGGTGCATTGCAGAGACATGGGAAAGAACGATTTCCTCAGACTATGCTGTGGGACAGCGTTTCTGGGAATCCCAGTGCTGGCTGGGGGACCCTATGGGGACAAGCGTGGCCTCGTCTTTTAGAGAGGTCAGGCCATAGTCAGTGCCCTGGGACAGGAAACGTGGCTGCATGCAGTGTCAGGCACAGGCACGCGCTGAGCTGATTCATCTAAACTCAGACCCAAATGGTCCTTCCAGGGCGCTCTGCTCCCAGCTCATTAGCCATAATTCAATCAAAGCACGCATGTATGTGGAGAAGATGCAGCCCTCGTTACTGGAAGGAAATCTTACCCGCTAACGGATGTACTGGAGAAGAAATCAATGGTGGGGGGGTTGCACTGGAAAGGATTTTGTGCAAAGAGTGCTTGGGGCTGGGGTATTGGCCAAGCAAATCAGGGAGTTCAGCACAGCTGCAGGCCGCCTCCCCACAGCAGGGCTCGGCGCCGGGGCCGCTCATGCGGGCAGAAGTGTCACCAGGGCGGCTGCTCGCACAGGGCTTCTGCAGCCTGGGGCTTTGGGGAGCAGTGCCACCCTGGTTAGTGCATCTCAGGGGTGTGGGAGCTGCTCCAGCTCCTGACGAATGCTGTCTGCAGAGCAGATCGGGGGCCAGATATGTATTGTGATGGGGATGCCCATGAGAAAGACGGGCAGTGCTCTGCCCAGTGTCCCCCTGTGTACCCAGGCAATTTGCTAGCCCAGTCCCAAGGCGCCTGTCAGGCTTTGTGAGACATGAAGAGGAGGAAGAGTGGGAAGGGCGGGCCTTTGCAAGGCGGCCAGGGAAGGCAGCAGTGACAGGAGAGGCTCTGGCCCAGCAGCACATCCTCACAGCTCCCATGTCATGCCCTTCTCCGTTTCCAGTGACGCAAAGCAGCCGTCTTCCTTGCGCGCTAGTGCATCCCACAGCACGCTGCTCTGAGATGGGAAGGGACTGAGGCGGGAGAGCCCCGTGCTGCAGCAGCACATCCTCACAGCTCCCATGTCATGCCCTTCTCCGTTTCCAGTGACGCAAAGCAGCCGTCTTCCTTGCGCGCTAGTGCATCCCACAGCACGCTGCTCTGAGATGGGAAGGGACTGAGGCGGGAGAGCCCCGTGCTGTCAGGAGGGAAACAGCCTGTAGTAGCTCGGCTCTGGGCGATGACCACCAAAAGAGCGTTCACTGTGCTCACAGCCTGCCGCTGGGCTGCAGCTGAGCCGAGGCACACATCCCACACGCGCTTGCGTATGGGGGTGAACGCACGTGTGTGATGTTTTTCCCTAGCCGTGATGGTGGGAGGGAAAGCTCTGTTTCGTAGCCTTGTCTCTAGCTGCTTGGGGAGGCAGGGCGGGGGATGCAGCAGGGATGAGTGGGTGGGGGACGAGGGATGCCACAGTGGGAACCGCAGACGTTTACTATTGTGCTGTCTCCTGTGAGCCCCTGGGTGCTTCCAAAGCACCTCATGGCCAAGAAATGTATTGGCCAGGGAGCCCCCACCCCCGGCCTTGCACCCCCCAGCCCATTCTCACTGCTGATTTCTCCATGCCGCAGGTGAAGCGAGACAGAGGTGACGTGATAGGCGTAAAATGTGGCATAAGCTGCCGCTTCTCTCTGGCAGGGAGGAGGAGATTTTGGTGTTGAGCACAGCACAGCCTGTGCCCTGGGAGAAGAGGCCTGACTATGAAGGGTAAGAGATGGAAGGAGGTACTTTTGATTGGGGAGCAGCTAAGAGGATATTAAACTGCAACAGCTGGGAAACACAGCTTAGAGGAGAAACAGTACACAAACCCAAACTCCTTGCATGGGGGCCAGACTGAACCAGTCTGTGTTAATGAACTGGAAAAAGGGAAATTTCAACTGCAGCAATTCTAGGAGTCTGCATACCCAGTCCAGGGAGGATGGTCTTAATTGCAAAGCCCTTTAGGCTCGCTGTTGTGATGGCAGTGTTAGAAATTTCTTATTACAGCTTGCTCACACAGAAATTGGGGGATGCGGAAGATGACTTGATGTTGACAACACCAGCATTCTAGTGTCATTAGAGCCACGCAGCGAACGTGCTTACAATCCACAGAGAATTGTGATATTCCTAAATCTGGTTACACACCAATTTGCAAAGAAACTGCAGAATTTCTGTGTTCTGCACAGAGGTTCCCTGCCCTAGCAAGCAGCCTTTTGGAGCTTCCAGAGCCAGGAGGTCAGGCTCTGGCTGCCAGCGTTAGGGTCAGGGTTAGGGCTTGCAGACACCTTGACGATGTCGGCCAGCTGAGCTCTTGAATTGCTTGAATGAACGTGCTGCAGTTGCACACGAACAGCAGTACCATTGCACAAGTTTGAAATTAAAGTTAAATAAATTAAATTAAATATTTAGCAATTCATTAATTAGTTAAGTTTTTTCCCCGTTGGCCATATTCTGCCCTTTGGCTTCTCTCCTCCCCAGACAGAAGACATCAGAGAGCTTTGGCACCAACTCTGCCCGTGCTCAATCACTCCTACAGATCCACCCAAGCGCTGTCAACTCACCAACACTAAAAACACAAGGGGATTCACTCAGTTAAAGTTTTACACTGCCCTGCACTGGAGCTGATTTTTAGTCCAAACAGTGCAGGACTTGCAGGCGTGTTGCCTCAGGTTTGGCAACAGGATAGTCACATTCGTAGAAAAGCATTTTAAAGTTAATCAGAGCATTGCCTTTCAGCACAGTTAATGATCTGAGAGGATGCAGTATGCCAAGGCAGGTAAACTAGTCTGGGATTTGGGTTGTCTGTGCTGCTGGCTGTAGGCTCTAGAGGCACACGAGGGAAAACCTCACCCTGCAACTTTGCCCAGGTTGTGGGCAAACTATTTAAAGGGTTCTGGGGAGAGGGGGAGCAGCAATGGGTAGCATGGGCAGGCAGCCTGCTGCTGAACTGAATCTTCTTTATTTCACAGCAGGAGCAAGACTTGAAGTGCAGCAGACCATAAGCATTTCCTTCTGCCCAAAGCTTTCCCCTCTTTTATAATGATGGTGCAAGCTGTGCTGAGCCGTGACTCAATAAATATCAGCCAATTCTCTCCCTCCAGAGGGGCAACTGCCTTCTGCACCCTCCAAGGGCTGAGGAGAAGTGGTGTAGCTAGAGTCATTCTGCTCTCCCTTGGGACTACAGCAGAGCCAGGCAGTGCAGTTACCACCAAACATCCCCACAGTCAGGTGTTTCATGGGTTCATCCTTTAGCACAAAGTAGCCTCAACGCTGCCACAAAGTCCTCTCCAGGCAGGCACAGTTATGCCTATTGTTTTAATTAATCATCTTCCCTTGGAGACTCGGGGACTCCCGAGTGCCAAGGTCTGGCTTTTGATTTGGGGCAAATGCAAATGGAGAAGGAAGGTGTTGCAGTGATACCCATATATCTAAGGCAGCCGTGTTGTCAACCTCCTGTCTTACTTTTTCCTACACATGTACATGAGCTGTCCCCAAATATGTGTGTGCCAGGACACACACATTTTATATTCCAATAGTTATATGCCCCTCAGAGCTTTTTTTTCAGCCTCATCAAAGGCATATATCCACATGCCTCTAGAATAAAATGGGACAGTCTTACCTGCCTGGGTAGTTACCTGGTGAATTTACATTCTTCTTTCCTTAGAGCTCTGGTTTCTCCATTTGTTGGGATTACGGGAACCTTTTGTGTTTAAAATTCTTGTCCCTTGTTTTCCCCAGGTTGCTTTAAATAGAGGGGGAAAATGAACAGAGGAACCAGCAAAGCTCACCTCACTTCTCAGAATTGAGTCTCTGACCCTTTTTACTGTCTGTGCCCCTCTGAAAATCTCCTCCAGCTTTTATCTGCACCGTTCCACCTTTTGCAATAAAGGAAAGCCCCTGAAGCTTTTTCCGCCCTTTTAAAAGAATCCACCTCTGCAGCCAGACACCAAGCTTCATTTCTGGTAAGGATTTCAATCCCACTCACTCCTTTGTCTTGGCTTATACGTCACCCTCTTCCTCTTGGGTGGGCAGAAAGGGGACGGATGCTGCCGCTGTGCAGACTCCTGACTGGGTCACCGAGTGCTGCTGGGCTGTCTGAGCTGGGCTATAAAACAGAGCCAAGGCAGCGCAGCTGGCTGAGGGACGAGACTGAATTCTGCAGACGGCGAAGGACGCGCACGCAGCCTCTGCCGCCTCCTGTGTTGTTGTTTTTCCTGGAATACAGAACCAACCTCGGGAGGAAGATGTGCAAGGGACTCGCTGCACTGCCAGCCACTTGCTTAAAAAGGTACTGTTTATTTCTGAGCATCTGTTAATGATCTTGTTAGTCTGGAGATACGCTGATGTATTGCACTTAGCGTCTGAAGCAGAAGTGGCGGATTCGGCTCTGATTCTTTTGTAAGATTAGATGCAAATGGTTGCTTACAGGCACTTTTTTTTCTGTTAGAAGCAGAATTGCCTAAAGGTTTTGTACGGAGCTGTGGGAACTCTAAACCCATCCTTCCCATTAGCAAAACAAGCAGCTTTTAGCATTGCTGTGTTTTGATATGCCTGTCATCTGCTTCTGCCGCAAGCTTTGCACCCCTTTTCTCCTTTGAATCCTGTTTCTCTGCTGAATTTTCTTTTCTTGACTTTTTGAGGCGGGAGCAAGGCAGACAGGATATTAAAAAAATTGAGGATCATTCCCCAAAACGCATCCCAAATGCAGAAACCCAGCCTGGCAGGACCAGAGACCCGGCTGCCAGCGGGCAGGGTGGGATGCGGGCCAGCCCAGGGCACCGCGGATCTGGATGCGGCACCAGCCGGTGTGGGGTCAGCCTGTATGCCCCGGGTGTGTACTGATGGTGAGAGACCAGGCCAGGCTGTACCCCCGGTGCACAGCGCTACGGGGCCGGTGTGGGGCTGGCCATACCCCCATAGTGCAGTGCCGATCAGGATGGCACTGAGCTGTACCCCTGCCCTGGGTGCAGGATCTGGCTGCATCCCAGTGTGCGGTACCAGCCAGGCATCCCAGTGCTGGCAGAGCGGAGCCTGTGCACCCCCAAGCATGCCCTTGGCAGCATGGCCTGCCCCACAGCCCAGTGTGAGGGGGTCTCTATGCCTGCAAGGTGGCCGTGAGCCCTCCTGGAGGGGTGTTACTCCCTTTCAGGTGCTATGGGTCCTGGAGACCCCCAGCAGGGTGGCCCAGGTGCCCAAAATGGCACCGGCCCCACAAAACTCGCTGCTCACCCAGCCCACGCAAACTTGCACTTCTGAGGCGGCTTCCAGTGGCTGTGCAATGGGAGAGGGTTGGAAAAGTACAAACTGAGACTCAGCCTGCTCTCATCTGGGAGAAAAAGCTCCCCGCTCATGGTGGATTTGAAAACAAGTGCTGAAAATGTGAGGAAAAAATATTGACATTCTCCCCGCCAATTTGCAGGAACATTTGACAGGGGAAAAAAAAAAAAAACATTTGAAAAAATGCAAGGGAAAATGAAGTTCACATCTTTTAACCACCTCTGTTCAGGATTCCCAAGAAAATCCCTCTCTCCCAGAAAGCTGCGGGACTCGCTGCAAGCAGCAGTGTCTTGTTTCCTTCTACTGCCGCCTTCCTGCAGACCCAAGCGGTCTCCTTCTTCTGGGAGCAGACAGCATGGCAGCACGAGGCAGCCCCAGTCTGGCAGCGCAGAGTACCCGATATCTGCCTGGGCAGGGCCTGGATGTTGGCCCTGGTCACACACACTCTGCTCTAAAGAAGCTATGAGTTTCCTTCGCTCTCACCCTAGTGCTGGAGTTGTTGAGGAAACATTTATAAGCACAAGCAAGCAGTGAGATAAGATATGGCCAGGACCGCTGACAGGGTGCTATGGCTGGAGCAAAGAGCAGTGTTGGGAGGCTGAGCAGCTACCGGAGCTCAGCCCTGCGGCACAACCTCTTGCTCTTTTCCAGGCTCTGATCTGAGGAGCAGGAGAAGCATTTTCCTGCTTATGCTATCGTTTTACCCTGCGGCACGCCAGGGCTTGCACCCCTGAGCAAGCAGGACTGATTTACCTGCCCCCTCGTTCTTAATCTGGAAGGAAATCCAGAGAGATGCTGAGGCCAATACCAGCTGCATATCTAGATGCTGCTGTCAGGCAATGGTTGTCCTGAGCATGCTGGAAAGCAGAACAAAATTAAGCATGCATCCTTGCAGGAGCTCGCCATGGAGCAAGGGAGTAGCCTGCAGTCAGTGTGGGCTGGTTGTGGTGAAGCTCCTGGCTCATCCCCTGATCTCACCCCACGGTCCTGCTCCGAGCCCTTCGCTTCCTCCCTGCCCTCTGTCTCATGCGCAGCTGCTTGGTGGGGTGGCCTGGCACGGCCCCGCTGTTCCTGTAGCTGGGTGATGAGGTGGGGGGATGGCAAGGGCTGCAGGAGAGGATTAGTAAGCCTGTAAGAACTGGACACTGGTAGCGGGGCAAATCACTTTAGGGAGAAGTGACACATTTACAGCACGATGATGCATTTCTGTCACAATATTTTAACTGTAAACAAACAGTAGGAAAACAACAGCTTCTCCCCCTTTGCCAGCCCTGCCTCCAGGCTGACGGCCTTCTCAGCAAGAGAATGGTGCTGTTGAACATGAAAAATGACTTCTTTGACAGTTGTATTTGTCTAGCAACAGAAGCATGCATTATGTGAGGAGTGAAAGGTCAGCGCTGGAGTCACTAGCAGTGACCTGCATTTGTGTCACTGAGTAATGCGGAAGGAGCTTATTGCGGGTGAGGAGGCTGCAGAGGGAGTTGTAACGCATTATCTTCATCTCCTTCTTCAATTGTTTCTTTCAGTGCGAAAGACATGAAGCATCGTCTGGGCTTCTTGCTGCAGAAGTCAGACTCCTGTGACTACAGCTCTTCCCAGGGCAAAAAGGAGAAAATATCTTCAAGCCAGAGGTAAGAGCAGATGCTGCCACGTAGTTAAGCCCAGGCTGGCTGCAGCATGTTGTTTACTCCTTGACTGAGCTGAACTTTATTAGCATTTCTGCTGCTGCTTCCCAGTACCTCCTGAACACCTGTGTGTTTGAATCTAGTGTGGCAATAGTCCTCAGGTATCGATAGACCCCTTCCTTGAAGCAGGTGAAACTAGAGGTCCCTTTCTGCCAACACTTCTGTGATTCAATATGCATGTGCACAAGGAAAGACTTGTGCAGTCTCCTGCGCAGGGGAATAATGCCATCACCAGACACAGTGCGACTTGACACATTGCAGAATCAGAATCACTGTCTCTTTGAGTTGGATTTGTGCAATGGTCCACGCAGCTGCACAGAGATATTGGCACAAAAACCAGAGTGAGCAGCCTGTCAGGGTATCACTGCTCTCACTGAGGTGCAAATCGATGGTGTCCTTTCCAAGGAGGACTCCAAAGGCCAAGGTATGTTCCTGGAATAGATGAGCCCTAGGATGTTCTGGTATGGTAGGGGGAATGAATGCAGGATGTGTTCCCACATATGTTCCCCATATGTTTCTAGTTCCCACATTCCTCTCTCTTCCATATAGCTCCTGTTCCCTTGACAGGTTAAAGAAATCAGCACTCTGGAGTTCACTGATACGACCTGCAAGAGTGATCCCAAGTCCATGCCCCATCAAGAGATGCAGCCAGTCACAAAATAAACACGAAGTCCCCAACAATTTCTCCAGGAAAATTCCTTTCCAGCCCATGGCTGGTGACGGGGATTGCAAACCGGAATTTCTATAGATTAGATCTGGATCCCCAGGGGTCTCTGTAAAGCAAGCAGACATTTCCTTCTTGGTCGTGTATGCTCTTACAACAATCAGGGAAAGAAATTTTCTAATGGTGCTGAGCAAAAACCCAAATTTGTCCTTTCTGTACTTCCCTTAAATCTTCCCTATGTTTCTCTCTTTGTCTCCTTTTAGGGTTAGCCAAGAGGAAGTCAGAAAGTGGGCAGACTCTTTGGAAAACTTGATCCATCATGACAGTAAGTTAAAGAGGGCCCTTCTGCTGGAGATGTTGAGGGTGCTGCCTGCAAAGTGTGTGTGCACAGGCCTTTGGGAGGGGTGGTGAAGGTTGCTTTTGGTCAGATCCAAGGGACAATCCCAATGTGTCATGAATGGGGCTTTGACCTACTGCTGAGCTGTCCCTTTTGTGAAGGCAACTGGTTTAGCCCTGTGCAAGGGGAGGGCAAGACTGCAGCACACAGTTAACAGTGGGTTAAACAAGAACCAAAAAGTGGAGAAACTGTTTGCAGCTGAGCCCATGGGACATTTGTTTTCCTGTCGGTTCCAGGCTACACTGATGTCCTTGATGTTTCCTTTGTGTTGTTCCCATGGCCTGAGACTCTGGTGTGTGTTGGCTGTCTCCTCGGGGCCTCCTGGGAACACACGAGTCGCTTGTGTTCTCCTGGCTGAGCCACTGAAGGTCACAGTGGGGGAGCAGGCAGCTGAGGACCCACGTGTCACATCCCCATGGGGCCTGTCTGAATTCCAGCCTCCCTCGGCACGCACGAGTGACTGCTGTAGAGGCAGGCAGCCGTCCACAGGGGAGCTGCTCATTCAGCTCTAGGAAGGAGAACACAGAATTGATGTTTGCTGCGGTTCATGGGCATGACTATCCGGGAACCAACACTCTTACCTGATCTAGTTTTCCTCTAAACAATTCGTAGGAGGACTGGCTGCTTTCCGTGCTTTTCTCAAATCTGAGTACAGTGAGGAAAACATCGAGTTCTGGGTCAGTTGTGAGGACTACAAGAAAACCAAGTCACCAGCCAAGCTCAGCCCCAAGGCCAGAAAGATCTATGATGAGTTCATCTCAGTGCAGGCTACAAAAGAGGTATGTGCACAGAACATCAGTTGAGCAAAGTTATCACCCTACATCCTGAACCAGGCCAGCAGCACAGGGAAGTATAGATCTGGTAGTTTCACAAGAGTTGAAGGATGCTGCTTCTCTGTTAGTTAGCAAGCAAATGGTGTCATTTTTATTGCTTTCACATTAAACTTGGATAGAGAGAAAGTGGGTTTAGTTACAACCATGTGGCCATCCCATGTGCACACTCAAATGGAGAAGCCCGAGAGGACTATGATTCCTAGTGTTCCAGCTGCTCCCGTGCAGTTGTTTGAGTTTCCTGGCTGGCTGCATCCCAGAGGGATATGTGTCAGTCTCCCCTGACAGTTTGTCTGGCAGCAGAGATGCATTGGTATCCAGCTGCACATATTCTGCCAAGGCTACAGGATGTCCAACGGCCATTTCAGACCACTGCCCATCAAGGACAGCTTAAATACGCTTGGTGAAGAGACGCTTGGATTTTTCTTTACCTATGCTAGCCACTTCTGGGACAGATTCTACTTATGCTGTCCCTTTGACCCACAGGTGAACCTGGATTCATGCACACGGGAGAAGACGAGCCACAATATGCTGGAGCCTACACTGTCCTGCTTTGATGAGGCTCAGAGAAAAATATTCACCCTCATGGAAAAGGATTCTTACCGCCGTTTCCTCAAATCCCCCTACTACCTGGACTTGGTCAGCCCCCCTGGTGCTGGCTGCGGCCCTGAAAACTGCAAAAGAAGCCACGCTCACACCTTAGACTGCAACTCAAACATCATCTCTCAGTGCGCCTGAACCTGCAGCAAGGCAGGGGCAGGCTGGGCTCTCGCAAGAATATACGGCAGCAAAAGTGTTCATTGGCATGAAGCAACAGAGCTGTCTCCAATAGCTGTCTAATGTCCCAGTTGTATCCCATGTCATGCAACAGCCAGCATTTGTAACCCAAGCCAGGCTCAGTCTGTGTAGCAAACCCTCCTCTGACTCCATCGGTGTAGGAGCCCTGGAGTCTGTCTCTGACATGAAAGCTGGGTGCAATCGTTGTGTGTCCGCTGTGTTTCTGGCGAGCCCTGCAAGCCCAGGAGGGCGGCGGGGGAGCACGTGCTCCGACCCAGCGCTACCCACCAAGGGACCAGACTTGCAATGTTGCAGTGTGACACCTAGCAAGGAGCAGGGGAAAGAGGAAGCCAAGGGAAGCGTTGGGGACTGTGATCTCCCCTTTCTAATACGCAAAAGCTTAGATCAAAAGGACTTGCTCTGGTCCTTAGCTGTTCATATAGCTCCCAAACGTCTAAGCTTTCAGTAGTATTTGCTCAGAACTGAAGCTGTGCTGCATTACAGTAATCAGACATAGGAAGAGCTCCTACTCTTTCTTGAAGGGAGACCAAAACTTTTCAGACAAACAGCCTCCTTTGATCACCACAGCCACAATCGCAGGGAAGCTCTCCCCTCTGGCCGCTTCTCCCTCTGTAGCATCTAGTTTATGCTGGCCAAGGATCTTTCCTAGGGCTGTGCAGAGCTATTATTTTGGGGGAGGTTCATTATTTCATATCTTCATGCTCCCAGGTTAAATACCGTAGCTGAGCAGAACAGAAACATGTTCCTTCTCTCCCAGACTGGCAGGCGTATATGACTAACTCTGGGAGTGCCATCTGAACTCAGGTTTGCCTGCCCTGGCTTGTGTGGAGCAGTTTGTGATGGAATAGGACCACTACCACAACAGCTGGGGAGGAAAGACCCTGCCTGGGAGTACTTGAAAACATCTTTTTTTTTTTTTTTTTTTAAAAATGTTTTTTATGTGAGTTTATAAGTCAGTAGTAGCATGAATCACTTTTTTCCTGAAGGTGGTAGGAGGAATGTGTCAGTCTTATTACTGCTCCTGGGCTTTGCCAGAGGGCAGCTTACTTTTTAATCACCGCAGTTAGACATGGCCTTCACGGGGGGCTTTGGGGCTGACGCTGACCTGCAGTTGGTAGATGCAGGGCTTGCTGCCTTGGGCTGCAGTACTGGGTATCGCCAGCCAGCAGCTGGGACCGCCTGCTCTGAGCAGTCCAGTGGCTGTCGGTGACACTCTCCCCCAACCCTTGGTCTCTCCTTAGTTGGATATTGCTGCTCTGACAACCATGTATTCCTCGCTCTGCATCCCAGTCCAAACAACGGTTCTCACACCACGGTTTTGACATGGCAGGAGGAGGCTGTGGTTCTCCGGTAGGCATGTCCAGGCCCACAGAGGAACATCTCTTTTGACATTTGCTTTATTTTGTATTTATTAGATTGTACTGACACGTACCACCCCTGCATGTTCAGCTAAGAGATGGAGAGGCTTGCTAAAGCTCTGAACATAGCCAAGCATGTGGCTATGTTTTATTTTCCCCTGGTACTGGGAACTCTTGATAACTATTGCAAAAACTGTGTTGATATTTAAATAATGATGAATACATTCTAAATAAAAATGTTTGCATTAGTCCCTTCTAAAATGCCATTGTGTGAACCAACGAAAATGTATGGAGATGCAATTCATTGGCCAAGGTTACTCTAAAAAGTCATTTTTCACTCAGAGGTGGTTTTAAATTACGGAAAGATGAAACAGCCATTATATCCTTCAGATACCCTCGGCACCGTGAGCCTGGGGGATGCGGGGCTTTTTGGGGTCCATGCTGTGCCTGACAGCGAGCTCGGCGCAGGGGCCCCCCATCCTTGCCGAGGGGCTGGGGTGAGCATGAGGCCCCCTTGACAGCCTTGGAGGGGGGAACGTAAAGGAGCACCTTCTCGCTGCAAATGTTTTCACACCCAGAGCTCCAGAGGGGAACACGTTTTAGCTGGCGCTGGGGGTTTTCATCTGGACCGGCCTCCTGGGGTGATGTTTTTATGCCCTTTTCAGTTTCCTGAGAAACTACCACATCTGTTGCAGCAGAAGCTCTCAGAGGCCTTCGGTCTTGCGATGGCTTTTGGGCACAAGTTTTGGGAGTAGACGGTAAGGAAATGCCACACCTTCAGCGCAAAGAGCCAAAATAAATAGTCCATTGAGATAGTAGCAGAAATACATGTTTATGTGTGGATTACTGAGTGGTACAGGAATATGGGTTAACACAACCAGTTCCTCAGTGCACACCAGCGCCTTGCGTGAAGATCTCTAGTGGAAATCACACGGAGAACGTCAGACTGAAAACCTGCTGCTTGCGGGTGTGAGGAGTCGATCCTCACTCCTGACCTTGCTCTGGCCCTTGGCCACAGCGCTCGGCACCCTCCAGGGAGTGAACAAGGACTGGGGGGGCCTGGGTGAACCCCTGGACACCCTCAGCCCCCCGTGGGCAGCAGCCGCTGCCTCGCAGGCTTCAGCAGTCCCCAGGGCTGGGACGGCGCAGCACCGGCAGAGCCCTGCCTCAGCATGCGGGGGGAGTGCTGGGTGATTTACACCATGGCTGGTGAGGTGCGAGGGTCTGGGTCACTGAATTAACCAGAAAACACAGAGCAAACAATCCCCTGGCATTAATCTGAGGGATGCAGCTGCAGGGAGCCCTCCTCCGCATGTCCCCGTGGTGGGGAGTGGGCGCCGGGGAGGCACGGAGGCAGCGCCTGGTGCCCGGGGACCCTGGCTGCAGCGTGGGGTTGCCTTGCCCCACGGCAGGGGATGGGGGTCCCTCGGAGGGCATGAGACCTGCCTCCTGCGCCCGCTCGGGTACCAGGACGCGCCGGGGCTGCAGGTACGCAGCGGCCACAGGCATATGGTGATTTCAGAGGATGTTTTGGAAGATGCACCTTCATGTTCACTCGGGTGCATGGCCAAGGTTTCCCTCAATGGAGTCTGGGACCGCAATAAACCCGCACGCTCATCTCTGCGACAGACCCCAAGCACAATATCCAGAAACTCTGCTTTTTGGCTCTCCGACTCACTGGGAATCCAGATGCCCATGTTAGGAGTATGTATATATGTGTATGTGTATACTTGTATATGTCTGTAGGATATAGATGTACAATGTTGTGTGTACAGTGCTCATACATATGCCAAATTTCATGAGAACAAGAGTGATAAAATACATGAAGTATTTCCTACCAGAAATATAATGGTTGGTATCAGCCCGACAGTAAATACCTCTGGGCCCGCGGAAAGCTCGGCCGTGGGGTGGGTACAGGCATTGCTGCCCTTCTGGGGCGAGCCTGCCCAAGTAATTAGCCAAACGACCCTTCTACACAAACATAACTTCCCAAGAGCTCCAAAACGCTTCAGGGGCCGCATTTTATGGCCACCCGGTAGCTCACTGGCACCTGTTCCATCACCCCCTAAAGCAGGCTTCCAGTATTTTAGCAAAAATCAAGCTGGGGAGGGATTTCCAATACACCTGTTTCACCTCTCCTGAATCCAGCCTCCACCTTTCTACATACCCAGACACCTTCTCCCTGCCCCACACGTCGCTGTTGCAGCTAGTGACATCTCAGGTTTGATGGCGTGCAGCAAGCCAGCCTCCAGCAGCGTCCCAGCGTCGGGGTTTAACTGTGAAACGTGTGAGGGTATCTGGAAATAGCTGCCAAAGGATTAAGTAAAAATGAAAGGTCTGGGTCTTTCTGTTTGGTTTTGCATTTCTATGAGTCACGCCGTGAGTAGGGAGCTTGAACATGCTGAACCCGCTTGTCTTGACACCGGATCATGGAGACGTTCGGAGGGTGCAGGGAGCGCGCCTGGGCAGAGGCGGTGGCAGCACCCTGCAGCAGGAGGGCTGGCGAGCCCCTCCTTCCCATGCCCAGCCCTGCTCCTGCCTCCCCCTTGTTGCCCACCAGCTCTGGGCAGCGGGTGCTGCCGGGGGGATGCTGCGCCCTTTTGACAGGACCCTCCCGCCGCTCGTGGGCTCCCTTGGGCTCTTTGGGGCCACCCAAGCCGCCCCCTGCGCTCACCCCAGGGGAATGCCCCGCGAGCACCACCCGCTGCCGCTCCAGCACCGACTTTCCCAGGCCATTTGCTCCAGAGGAAAAAAAAGTCACGTTTGTGATGGCCTCCATCCTTCCCCTGCCTCCCCATCCCTGCCTGGAAAACGCAGCCCATTTCCTGCAGCTCGGGATGTATTTTTCTTCATCACCATAGTGACAACGTGTAAATATTTGGGGCTGGTGGGGTTTTGATCAGATTTTGAAAGTCTTGAAGAGGCTGGCAAACCAGTTGTTTACGTTACTGCATTTTGGATGGAGTCTCATGACTCGCAGTTGAGGTTGAGGAGCCTGGGGCAGCCGGTGCGAGCTGCCTGCTGGGAGCACGGTCGCTTGTTATTTTGCCGGCATCTGTCGTGTTGCCGGCTGGGCAGCTCAATCCCTGCAGCGTGCTCGTTGCAAGCCACGGCCCTGCGGATGCTGCACCAGGAAACCATCGCAGCGACGAAACGTCCAGGCCCCGCGGAGTGGGGGTTCATCGCATTCACCTCGAGGCTGAAATGAGACCCCAGCCGCCTTTCATGTATGCCCTTGCCCTGTCCTCAGATGTGATTTCTTCTGGTAGCGAACAGTGGGCTGGCTTTGAACCCCTTGAAAAGAGCTGGTCTTTTTAAGAGACAGCCTTATGGGAACACGTGTCCTGGGCAGGCGGGAGGAGACAGGAGAGAGAGATGGAGGCTGCACAAACTCGGCAGAGTTTGCTGTCTGTTCAAGAAGACAGGGGTTTATTTTTCATCTTTCCAATTACGGTTTTGTCTCTGGGTTCGGGTTTTGGTTTTTGGTTGTTTTTTTTTTTTTTTTTTAAATTGGATCTGAACAGTTGCAATTAGCAGCTGTTTTTCCCCCAGCATGATTTTCCTCCCTCCTCTAATCGATGCCCCTTGATTGAGTTTGTGCAGAAGTATCGCTTTGGCGTGCCTACTGCAGAGAGAAGCAACTGGAGCAAGAAACCACCACGGCAACACCCGAAGCTGCAATCCAAGCGCACCACCAGCCACCAGCACTGCTGAGGGCTGCGCGTAGGCACTGGGGACACGGGCACGGGCTGCAGACTGAGAGCTCAGTACATCATGCAAGTGGTTGGAGTGAGCGGGAGGTCTGGGTTGCTAAACAGTCCCAGTGTTTTGAACAAACAGATCTCATTTTATCCTCTTTACTTGAAGCAAACGGGCTGTCTCACAGCTGACTCCAAGTGGAGTCACTGGGGAAGCGGTGCTGCAGGCTCGCTCTGC